ATACAATGCATATGTACTCACAAAATTATGCACATATGTATGCATACATGTACACACATTGGATGCATGCATATATTTGCAAGCACAACATATACATCCAAGCAACATACACAAAATATATACAGAAAACATACATAAACATATATGCAGACAACACACATTTACAAAATACATACCACACATACACACATGTACACATACATGCAGATATACACAAAAAAACATACACACCACACACATACAAATAAACACACATATATACACACATCTACATTTATATACATATACATATATATATATATTATATATATAAACATATACATACCACATATACACATATCCCACTATGCTGAGGTCAGATAAAAGATAGACTGAGCTGCTATTGAATTCCTCCTGAGAGGTGGTAATTTAGAGTGAGGCATTCAAGCCAACTGGACAGATCCGAGTTACTCAGACTTGGTAAAAAGGAAGATTTCCCATGCTGATCAGAGCATTAGCTGGAGTAACTCACAAACAAGAAGCCTGCTCCCAAAGCACGGGAATAGACAGAAAACAAATGATGTTGAGGTCCTACCTTAAAAAGAATTTAATAACAGATGAAACAGAATACGCTCCTTGACACACAAGGTTTTATCAAATTTGTTACTATAAGTTGAGCTTCTGGCTTCCGTGTAGTTTTCTCACTTGGAACATTTTGAACTTAAAATTACAAAATCGAAAATGGTTTGACTTGAAAAGTCTAAATCCAAAGAAAATAACCATTAAGCCATAAAATTTTGGAAAACACAGATTAGAAAGGAAACAAAGTAAATCCTCCTCCTGCTGTAGTTAGACCACACTTTCTATAGCTAAAGCTGCTCTTCTGCTCAGAGATTTCCAAAGAAACCTTGGCCAGATTAATGTACCTTATGAAATTTCACCTCCTTTCTGAAGTAGCACAAGAAAAAACTTAGACCTCAGAATAATTGCAAATGTAATTTCTTCTGGGCTCCCCCACCTTACCCCAGGGCACACTTAGATGATTTTATTCCACAACAAATATTCTTGTGATTCAATGATGCTTGGTTCCTGAGTTGCTATTTATTAAAAATCTTCTTGCTTTGGGCAGTTGTTGGCCAAACTGGAATCAGACCTCTGAACCTGTTTCTTTCTTCATGGCCTTTAGAGCTTTACATCTCAAGGGGCTCACTTGAGGGATTAACATGCTGATTTCCTTAATAAACAACACGCTTCAGTGATACTGGCAAGATATCTCCCCCAACCTGAGGTTCCCATTTATTTCCCTCTTTCAGTAACTTTTTAACTGGAGGTCTAGGTGTGCAATAGCACTGAGGTCCGTAGAGGTCACTTGCAATTGAAAGTAATGGAGTTTGGCACTGTTTTCTTTCCAAAACATAATGACACCAAAGGAGCAAAGATAACTGTATCCTCCATAGTCCTCACTTGAGTTCCTGTCTCAATAATTGCTAACACAGAGGGATTGTATTCCTCCCTTAAAAAGGTTTTCGAATTAGTCACTCATCCCAATTAGAAACATTCACCCTGGAAATTATTGACTGTGAACACGACAATGTTAGGTTTTAAAATCTATTTAATTGATTGGGCTTTTTCTTTTTTTTATAAAAATGGTCAAAGCCTTATGTACTACGTGAAGTGATAAACTCATAATGAAAAAAAATAACAAAACATTTTTGAAAAAGTATTGGAAAGAAAGGACAGAGAGTGACAACATAGTTTAAATGTTCCAGGATTCATAAACTTTATTGGGTTAAGCTTTCAGTTAAATTAATTATGTTCAGTCAAAATTGTGAGAACTATGGATTCTCATTTAAAATTGCTAATTTTGATAAGCATTAAAGAAAAGAAATGAAAATAGGTAACAATGAAAAAGTATGTGTAAAAGTATGAGCATCTGTTTATAACCTGCACATACAAAATTTCATTTTTAAAAGGACTGCATTTAAACATTTTTAATAATAACAAAGAATGCTGTTAAATCTTGAAATTATTTAATATTCTACATTTATAATGAAGTCTTCTAAAATTGTGACTAACCTCTCAATTTCACTTTCCCAATAAATTAACTTGACAAGAGCAAACAAATGAGCAAAAATAATAACCTTCCTTTGAAAGAAAAGCTTTGAGCCAGTGATAGAATATATCTTTATTTCCAGCATTCAAGAGACAGAACTAGGCCAGCCTAGACTACATAGAAGGTTCTGGACAAGCTAGGGCCACATCTTGAGACCTTGTCACCAGAAAAAAAAAAAAAAAAAAAAAAAAAAACTAAAGACATTGATGTCAACATATTAGAAAGTATATATTATTAGAATACTGTATATTTGGCTTTTATTATTTGTATTTATTTATTTTAAATGGATAGTAAACAATGTATTCTTTTTTATGTTTTTAATTTCTAAATAATGCTTAAGACATACATACATTTTTACTGTTTTGTTGAAATACCACTGGGTATTGAAATGCTATGCTTAAGGGAAACTGAGTTGAACAAAGAGATTTTGAGCTGGTTAAAGAATTCACATCTCACTGAAGCAACCAGAAAGCATATTTTGTGGAATTATAATCCTGACTGGTACAATATGTTGAACTCAAGTTAGTAAAGATCCACTGATATCTTAGTTTAAATTTAGACTTAGTGAATAAGAGAAAATTAGATTGTCTTTAACACGATGTCAAAACAAAATTAAGAGCATCTATTTTCTGTTATTCAACTATAGCAGTAAGTTAAGTGCTTTGCATACTGTATCTTATTATAAACTAGTGGAATAAATGTTATACCTGACTCAAATTCAAGGCCGATGTATTATGTAACTCAGGGTAGTTGATCTAAACAAACAAACAAACAAACAAACAAACCAAAGCTTCAGCAAATAATTCCTTTTTGTATTCTCTCTTATTAGCACATTCCCATCACAAAGCACACAGTCATTATCTTTATTTCTTGCACAAGACAAGTTACAAAATACAATAGGTAATATTTTCATGAGTTGTAAGTTCACTTGTAACCATAGGAGAATACAATATGCAAAGGCAATTTATATGAAAAATATCATTTACAAATTACTTTGGGGATTGTTTTATATTCATCATTTAGTCTGGATGTTTGAATCTCTCCAGCTTTCTTCAGAAAAATAAATTTTTTTTTGGTGGTTTTGAATTCATTTATAAATATTGTGTTATACTCTGTCCTAAATATTTACTCTATTTTTAATAAAAAGAAAATGTCAATTAATTGGTATTTTTCTTTTCCTATGAATAATTTTAATTTTCTATCTTTGGATATTTTTATTATAATTGATACTTCATAAATAATATCTTGTGTCTTAGAACTGACTTTAACACTATAACACTTCCATAGTCAAAGTACTCAAATAGTATTTATAATTTCACTTGAGAAACTGGTATGTATCTTCAAATGAAAACACTAAGTCGACTAATGCGAGAGAAAAAAAAATCACCTGATCAACTTATTTCCTTTGTAATTATTCTCCACCGTTCACCTTCATCACCATACCAAGGCTATAAATCCTGCTCCACGTTTTTATGGGATAGTTTGGTAGTGAGAGTAACTGAGCTGTCATTTACTTCCAGTAAGTGCATCCATTCGCATGCCATCGCTTCTTTATTGGCTTCTGAAATAGAGATACAGCAATGGCGTAATGACCTCAAGTATTCTGCAATAACATCCTTTCACTTAAGCAATTTACCAAGAGCTTACGATACTAAATGAACGTGATTAAATAAAAGAAAAAGAAAACCTATGACTGAGAGGATGTAGAGTGGCAAGGCGGGCTGCTTTACTAGCAAGGCCCTGGGTTCAATCATCCAGTTCAAATTTAGTGGGTATCAGCATGAAAATTCTGCCTTGACCTTCAAATGCATCTTTGCCACCCACATGTTGATAGCAAGTAAGGAGACATTCCTGAACCCTTTTTGAAGGTTTTTATAATCAGAGACTTTTCTTTAATATTTATTTTCCTATTTACCTGAAAACTAATGGACATACAATTCACCATTTCCTAGATTGTATTTGCTGTTTATAAATAACTTTTAAATACTTTTGCAATATTGGCAGGTATGTTTTTCCTCAACTTGCTGTGCATCTGAGCATCTGCAACTAGCAGACACATGCTATGCATACATTAACACCAATTATATATGATGCAGGTTATAACATAAATACTAGCTTTAATGGCTTTTCTATTGCCATCCACCTCTCAACCTGTAGTCATAGGTTTTTACTGAATTGCTCCAACACTACATGCACCACGTATAACTGAAGACGCACACACCAGAAAACTATGACATAGAGAAGAGTTTGCAGCCCTATTTTGCATTGAAACAAATCTTCATTTATGTTTGTGTGTTGTTCTATTTAATTAAATAATTGGGACCAAAGAAGACACTTAATAAAAAAGAACCACATAGTCTGCAAAGGACCATCACTGCAAATACTTTACCTCTGTATATACATTCTATTGCAAAAAGTACAAAGACCTTACATAAAGTACACAAACATACTTTAACATCACTTTATGTGTTTTCAAGAGTTAGTAGTCAGCAAAGAACACCATCAACTTATATTTATGGAAATAATTTTAAAGTTTGAGAAATAGAAATATGGTTTCCCATAGTAATTCATATTTCACCTCAATAAATAAACAGTACATAGTTATACACATATATCTGTTCTTACTTATAACACATGGATATAATATTATAACTCCCAGGATTTGGTAGCTCACAGATATTTCTCCAAGTTTTCTATTGCTCATTGCTGGATTTTGTTTCGTTTGGAACTGAGTCTTTGGCTGGCACATATTCAGAGCAGAGAGCCCCTCATGAACTTTTATTAGCCCACTACAACAGTTGATACGGTGACATAGTTGCAAAGTGGAATGCTATGCTCAGATTTTGCAGGAAATATTCCAACTGTACAATGAAAGATTATACAAATCCACAAGGAGCACCCAATCAATCAGTGTTGTGTGAGGGGAAGGCAGCCGGTTGTTGAATTAGCTTCTGCTGGAATGTGTTCATGTGTAACATCCCACTGACTGGATGACATCACAACAGCTTCAGGTCCTTGAAAGTCTTGAGGATGATTAGCTGAAGGAATTGGCTCTTTCTACCAATCATAACCCGGCAGAGCTGCCTTCATAGTTCTGGAGATATGAGAGAAAGAGGGAGGGAGGGAAAGACCGACTCCAGCTAAGCAAGAGGCTCAGCAGCAGTCGCAGCAGCAGACAGGAGCAGCTGGTATTCCGGTGATTAAATAGTTCTCATAGCCTTTTTGCTGTACCCAGTCTGCTCCCTGGTGTAATGCTCGTGTCCGAGAAGGAAGCTGCATTTTAACGGTGTGCTGAACAGAGGTCTGAATCATTCCAGCTGGCTGCTTGTTTTGAAAAGGACAATGTGTGTATAAATAAAAGGACTGCTGGAAGTGTTCAGACACCAGCCCCGGAGCTGAAGAGTGCTCCCGGAATCCTGTTGAGGCAGATGGCACAAACTGAAAGCTCCGCTAATTAACCTGGAGCCAAGTCAACCTGAATTCTGGATATCTCATTTCCTAACTCCGGATAAATTCAAGTTAGCAAAAGAAAAAAATATATTGAGATGCTTCTCTAGGTAAGTTACTGCCCTAATTTGTTGAAATTGACAATGACTGGGTATGTGTAGCTTAACTTCATAAACAAGTTAACTGCACTAAAGTTTTGTGTGTGTGTGTGTATGTGTGTGTGTGTGTGTGTGTGTGTGTGTGTGTGTGTGTGTGTGTGTAAATTTATATAGAAGCAGATACTTTTAGAGCCAAATTCAATCTCTCTTTCTGGCATGTGTGTACATACCTGTCAGTATGCTTTATAGAAGTTATATTTGCCCTGTAAATAGAACATACTGTCCTGCTGTGTAAAAGGAACTGCAACAGCAAAATAATTTTAAGCACTTACCCTGACATTTGCACCCAAAACCCCTCCCTTGATAACAGGTTAGTCCTGTTCCTACTGAAATCACCAATTTTGCAAACTCAACCTTCCTAGTAACTGTGGCTGGTGTTTTAAATGTTACCTGGGAAGTATTACTGGGAACATGGCATGCAAATTGCCCAAGATGAGAATTCTTCTTCTTGAGACCTGAGATTTATATGTTCTGTGTCTTGATGGCATTCTTAAGAGAAACAGCTGGCACACACTGTATGACACAGTCATACACTGTTTATAATAAAATAGATGTTATCCCCTAGTTCCTGTTATAAATGAATGTCATATTCATATTCTAGATTGTGAGGAGGACATGAGCAAGCAGCTCAGTGTCATACCCAAACACACCTCCAAAGTCCCTTGGACAAAACAAGTTGGAAAACAGGAGATGTTTAAAGTTGATTTTAGTTAGCATTCCCAATATGTATGTCAGAAGAAATTGAAGTTTAAAAATATTAGGAACTGCCTTCCTTTTAACTTGTCCTAATTATAAAATGATAGTTTTCAGTTTCTGTAATAGTGTTTAGAAGTGATGTGTTGTTTATTATGATAGACTCTGTTCTGAACCTTAATTAGCTCTGAGAAAGTTTCATCAGTTCATCATCTCCTTTGCGTGCCTTCATAATGTCTTTTCTCAGAGTCTATTCATTAACTTAGTGTCTTAGTTGTTTTAATATTAATTATGTTTCAGGATATTGACGTATTTCTATAATTCAGGCTTTAGCTAGCCACTCTCTTGTCAACTTCATAGTTTAAATCCTGTATTTCTTGATACAGGAGGAAACTGGTGAAGACAGAAGTTATTAAAATTGCTTGAATATCTCCCAAACCAAGGGGCAATGACTTCTCCTTAAATGGCTTTAATGGGTTTTATTTCAGATAAAAATAACTATTTTCATATTTTTACCAGAATTGTTCCAGGTAACCATATCCAGAAACACAGGTAGTAAAACCTACTTTGCTTTGTTTGCTTCCATGAAGCAAGTATACATCAAGCATACACAATCACTGGCCAGAAGGATCTAATTCTCTGACCAGTACTCCTAAAAACATATGTTGAATGAGGAAAAATAAGCCATTTATGTTTCCCTCAGTACAGAACTAGACATTTGAACTCACTGTGATTGCTGCCGTTTTTCAGTAAAGAATCCTCCGGCAACCTTAGGAGGCTAATGCTTCTATAATATGCATATGGACAGGTGAAGATTTTGGGGAAACCTAGTGAGAAAACTGCAATGTGTACTGCTTTCAAACTAGAGCATGAAAGTCATCCTTGATGGGAAAATACAGACACATTTCAGACATAAGTCTTAGGCAAAAGAAACTTTCATAAATATTTATTACATTTTATTTTTAACAAATCAATGAGAAATCCATCTGAATATAAATATGTAGAACATAGTTTTGCCTTTTAATATGTGAAAATCAAAATAGAAGTTCATATGGAATACACGTATATATATTCACCTGAGGAAACAAGTCTTAGATTTTGTCTGGCATGAAAACTGTTACATCTGATACCTACTAATTCTTCCTCCAAGAAGGCATGCCATGATCATATTAAAAAAAATACCTCAAATCCTTAATTAATCTCAATACCAGAAGTAGTATTTTTTAAATGCTACTAAATAAACGTTTCTAATCCAAACAAGAGTTGTTGCCAAGAAGTTTAATGTATCTGTGATCTCCTCCCACTTTCTTTATGAGTGGGAAAGTAGCCTGTGAGAATAAAATCCCATAATACTCTATTTCATTTAGTAGCAACTACTCAGGGAGAACAGAGAAGCATTTAGCATACTGTGTTCAAACTAGAAGGTTCTGGCTGATGCTGCCTCTCCAGATTTGGAAAGCAGCTGGGGAAACTTATAAAGTAAAGCTAGAATATCAGTCTTGGCTGTCAGCCAGGCCTAAGGAGCTATACACCCAGAAGGCTATTTTTTTTTTCTGGGCTGAAATTTATTGATAATGCATTATGTTTTAAGTCTAACCTGTACAAACTGGGACATTTCAGGAGCAAATATATTGTCAGACTAAAGCAAGACTGTAAAGGAGCTAAGGTTTCTTCTTTATCAAAGGTTGCTAGAATAAAATCATGTATACAGATGAAACCATATATATGTGATAAACCCCATAAAACACAATATGTACTGGGAAGTAAAGGAGTGATGAGCTGCCTCATCCAAGTACCAGCTTGGAATGGCAGAGAGATCAGAAGTGCTGTATATGGATGTGTGCCAAAACAAAGAACTTCAAGGTTTTATTCAAGTAACCAGCCTAGAAAAGATCCAGTAAAAGGAGAGATACCAAAGACTTTCATGGGGTTGTAGCTAGACAAGAAAAGGTAAACTCTCATTCCTTATGCTCCCCCAGATAACGAGCAGAAGGAGATGTTGTCTGATATTTATTTTAAGTTCACAAAGCGAGAGAAATGGGTCAGGTGCCAGACACTGAGCTGTTGCCTTTGGCCATCACGATGTAGCAGGCAGCCGACCTTTCCTTAACACTTGGGAAAGTTTTAGCGATGCCATGATACCAAGTGTTAAGTGTGCTCGCCTTTTGCCTTGCTTTCTTCAAGCTTCAGCATTCAGAGCAGTCAATGATAATGAAGAACTTATGCACACGCAGTATTTGCCAAGCTTCCTTTATCTAATTTCTAAGGGCTGATACCGCATAGTAGGCTAGACAAAAATATTTCTTTAAGCAATAATATTGAATTGATAGATTTCCCCCCAAACTCCAGACAGTCTGATAATTAATATCAAATTCACTGAAGTATCAGATATCTCAAAATAAATAGTTTTTTGAGATGAGAATAGTTTTGAGATGAAAAAAGTAACTCCCTCTACATTTATACCTGTAAAAGGTTGTACAGATATTACATGATACATTTATTTCCATTGTGTGTTTATGATCTGTTGTATCCCTTAGTATGAAGACAGTTCAGCCGTGACACAGGTTATAACCAAATGACTTACACGATGACAAACTCAATAATGACTTTCTTGTGTCCTTCTTAGTTAATATAAATATATTGTATTTTGTAAGTTTTTTCAAAAAAAAACTTACATAAGTCATTTTGTGAACTGTAAATGAATAAACAATATTAATTACTTGACCCTAAGGAAGTGTTTCTGAAAACACACAGAGTTAAAATAACTTCTGGCCAAATGCTTGAAAATAGTCCTTGATGTATTCAGGGTATTTTTGAAAACAAGATAGATAAGAATATTATTAAGTTTTAGAACTGAAATTTTTGTTCCAAAATCTTACCCTACTATTCATAAGGATCCTTGTTTGAAATGTTTGAGAAGTGCAATAAATAAAGCAGAATTTAACAAAGTAACAGGCATAATCACACAGCATAAACAAACACTTCATGTTCCTAAGTTAGAAGTACAGAAATTCAGTTTTTCCCATCAATATTTATCGGCTTTTGTTTTTCTTTTCCATGCTTTTATTTCTTTCTTGTGGTGCTGAGACTCAAACACAGATTTTTATTTTACACACACACACACACACACACACACACACATACTAAGCAAGAGGTTTATTGCTTTTACCTCTAGTCCTTATTAAAATTATTTAATAATCTTCAACTATAACTATGTAGAAGTTGAAAGTCAACAGACCGGGTTCAGTATGTTCACACAAAAAGTAAATGTAGGTCTACATTGCCTCGGACGCTTTCTTTGCCCTCACTGTCTTTTCGCCTTTACACCACTTAGTCTTTCTTCCCTTTATTCTTCATTTGCTTTGATTCTGTCCTCCCCTGCTTTTCTTTCTCTCTGTTTCCCATTTGTTCTTCTTTGCTTCTTTCTGAATGCCCCTCCTACTCACTTTTGCCATGACGTGTTTAGTGCTTTCTTATGTAGCTGGTGGGTAAATCACTCATGTTTAACATGACAGCACATATATAAAGACCTGGTGTGAACACAGAGTAAGTGGGAAATGCACGGAGAAAGTTAGTTAAAGCAATAAGGAGGAAAGTAAGATAAAATGGGAAATTAGCACCAGAAAAGTAGCTCTCAACATAACTAACAGCTCTTCTCCTGCTATGTTGATAGGCAATTTACTTTTCTAAATAACTTTATATACAGTTCTTTGTTCTCTGTGCATATGCTCCCATAGCATATTTTCCCACACCAAATGCACTATAGAGTTAAAAATAAAATAATAAAAGCAAATAATCATTGTAATTGTTGTTTAAACAGCCATTATTAATCATTTTTATATTTAGTAACAAACATGCTAACATTCACATGCAGCCCAAAGACCAATTGCCACGCTAATGGGAGAAGACGATGGGAGGGAAAGCTATTGTATACATTTAGATAGTTTGGCTTGACTCCATTCCTGAATCAGAAACTCAACTGTAGACTGCTGATCCACAAAATTTGTCATATTTCATCAGACTTTTCTAAAGAGTTCTTGATGCACTGAATAGTATTTCACGCCTACATTAAAAAATCATTTAAACCTCAGAAGTAAATATAGCAACACTAGAGACTAATACAAGGGGCGGAAACAGATGCAGTGATGCATATGCTCCTAACAAATGCATACAAAAGTCCTAATTCTGTTCATTACTCTAAAGTGCAAATGAATAATTAAAATTAGAATTTAAATTTGATCTGCTTCTCAAACCATCTT